AATTCTCATCAGCTCAAAGTTGATTCAGCCTTCCATCCTTCCGAGATGGGTAAAAATGAGGAGCCAGATTGTTGAGAGAAACATGCTGACTCTGTAAACCACTTAGAGAGTGCTATAAAGCACTGTGAAGTGGTATATAAGTCTATTACTATTATGTGGTGGTTCCACTGTGAGGGAAAGCCAGTGCTGTTATCTTCAGATTCATGCAACAGGCCTCTGGTGAAGCCTGATGCTAGATGCAGTAGATCTTAAACCTAATCTAGCAGGATATTCTTGTCACTAAAGTTTTGTAAATAAACAAAACCATGTCCAGCACCATTTGCAAAAGATTAGTAAAAGTCACAAGAAATTATGTCAGTGATCCAAGGAGATTACCACTGCATAAAAAATGCTTGGTGGACCAATGCCTACTCAGATAAAAGGCATTGCATCCCATGATTAATGATGTCATGCCTTTGTATTTCCTTCCAATTTATAACTGCGGCTGGATTCATTTAATGACTTTCATGATGTCACCATAAATGGATCCAAATGTCATTCATAAATGCAAAACACTGGACAGTATTCCTATTCTTCTTTGTTTCTATTCAAGTTAACTTGTTTGTGTGAGCTTTTAAAAGCAATAAAATCATTATTTCTTCTATGATGAAAGAGATTATAAACTGTCAAAAGTCCAAAAGTCATCTCAATATCCAATAGATTTTCCTCTTCTCATTGTAGTTTCTGACTTCTGACTTCTACATTTCATAGCCTTCAATTCCCTGTCTCTTTTTGTTGTTATTTCATTCTGAAATCCCAAAGATGCTTTTTTCAGCTATCCAGGTCAGGATTGATCTCAAAGATGTATTTTTCAAAAGACAACTGGACTTGCTTTGTTTTTCCTTGAAGACGCTTAGCTTCTCATCTAAGAGGCTTCTTTGGTTGAGAACTTCAGTTCAGAACTCTTCAGTTGCCTTTTGAAAAAAGCATCTTTGGGACAACCCTGACCTGGATGACTGAGAATCTCCATAGACTTTCATTCTGAAGCCTTTCCTTGAATCTGCCAACAAGGAACCTGAACAAGTAGTCCATTATTTCATATAACTTATTAATCCCAATGAGACTTGTTTTGGCTTAACGTGCAGGATGAAGCTGTGACGAATGTAAATAATAATTAATGGCACAGCCTACTACTTGAAAGTGACCACTGTAGCTTGTTCAACAAGTGGAGTTAAAGTAAATTGTAGTTCAATCTAAGATATAAGCCTACATGTTGGATGATTAGTCTCTCTAGCCCCTACTCTTTACTCTGCTTTTTGTTCTTCAGCAGAATTTTGTTCTTCAGCAGGTCTATCTACTTCTCAGAGAAGTTTTCTCTTGCAACATGACTTTGGAAGCCCAACAAGGGACAATGGTTGAAGGATACCTTATGGAGAAAAATCACTGGCAAATAATTGCAGTGATGTTGCCTTTCTGCTCCAACACAAGATGCAGTTTTAGGGTCAGTCAGATCATTTCTGGCCATGATCTGTTAACCACATTGGAACTTTTTCTTTTCATGATCAAGAATCCATTTAGTGATGTTTTCCTGGCCAGTGGTATATTAACCATTAAGCAGACTAAACACATGCTTCGGGCACCAGGCCCAAAGGGGGCACCACAAAGTTGAGAATATGGCTTCGTTTGCACGGTATGTACAAAGGAGTGGCGGCACCAAGATTTCTCAGTGCTTAGGGCACCAGTGAGCCTTAATCTGCCACTGCTCCTGGCAGCGGCTACTGCCCTGCAATGGCAAGTCATGGAACCTTAAGCATGAGTCGCCCACTCTTTGGAGGTTGATGCCATTAATGAGGCTGTGTGTAATAAAAATGGCAGCCTGTGGTCTGTGTGTGGCAAAAATGCACAGCAAAGCAAAGTCTTTGCAAATGTGGGATGGAAAAGTATAGCACCGAGGACGCCACAATTACAGCGTTGTGGCCAGTTTCTTCTTGGAAGGAGACAGCCCATGTTGCACAATACTTCAGTGCAATGGATCTGAAGCCGTCAATAGGACTCTGGGGAAGCATGAAAGAGCATCCTGTGGTCCAGATGCTCCGTTGAAAGGCATATGCTATTCTGGTCCTGAGAAGTTGCAGCAACATCTGAACCCCAAAGTTTTCACCACTCTTTAGCAAAGCTCCTTCCTCTTTGACCCAGAAAGATTCCTGGATTCGATGACCAATTCAGGCAGCCCTTGGCTTGCAGCCATTCATTTCGTGACTGTGCAAAGCTTCAACAGCACCGAAAAAGTGACTTACAATTGGCCCCCACACTTACAACCCTTGTAGCGGCCCCTTAGTCATGTGATCTGAATTTGGGCACTTGGCAACCAGCCTGTATTTAGGAGAGTTGCAGCATCCCAGGCTTCTCTGGTCCCCATTTGTGACCTTCCCAGCTGGCTTCCAACAAGCAAAGGGAATGGGGGAAGCCAGATTTGCTTAACAACCCTTCAATTCACTTAACAACAATAGCGATTTGTTTAACAGCCATAGCAAAAAGGTGATGAAATCAGGCACTCTGCTTAGCAGCAGAAATTCTGTCCCCAATTGTGGTTGTAAGTCAAGGACTGCCTATAGCCAGTGAAAAGAGGTGAAGGAGGCTACTAGAGAGAGGAGCCTGAGCAAACAGATAAAGAAGACCTCTGTAGGGAGCAGGGTTGCTGTCAATTTGAGCAAACAGTATTGGCGAAACTAAAGAGTTCGCTGACATCTGTCCTGAATTGATCCATGGCAGTTTCTTAATGCTTTTCCCCCACCGCCGATTCTATCGCCAGGGCTCCTTAGAAGCTTCAGGTTGGTTCCATCCATGGGGCTGAAACTGAGGCTGGGCAGGCAGATGCTTGCTTGTCTCTGCCTACCTCCATCCTTCATTTATGTGGCACTCCCGATCACATAATCGCAGCGCCCCCCCTGCTCCCACAAGAAATGCCCGGCATCGGGCACAGACCCCTCCTCCCCGCCCGCGAATTAAGCCATCCCCTCCCTCCCGCAAGGCGTCTTTGGGGGGCAGAGGAGGAAACCCACCGCGGAGCCCCAGCCAGCAACGGAGGAGCGGAGTTGAACTGCGCTGGCTCCACGTGGCGAAGCCGACCGAGACCCACCCTTCGCTGGGATCGGATCGGGGAGGGGGGACCGACCGCAGTTAGGGGAGGAGACCAGCAGCGACGTTTGCTCGAACTGGATCTGGAGGTTCCCCGCGGCTGCCAGCAACTCCCTCCCTCCCTCCCTCCGTCTCCAGGCCCTTGGTCCCCTCCCCGCATTTGGTTGCCAAGAGGAGACGGAGCGAGCTCGGGGCAAGGCAAGAGCATCTGCGCGGAACGGCGGCGTCCCCCGTTCCGATCTCCCTGCGGCAGGACTGAAGGCTCCCGGGGCGAAAGGAGGCTGCGGGGAAGCGGCGCTGTCCCTTCTGGGCGCTCCGGCTTCCCTTCGCTACTTGGCAGCCGCTGCTGGGCTCCGTTAGAAGCAGCCGCGCGAGATTGGACGGCGCGAACTGCTGGCAAGTCCTGCCGTCGCCCGCTGAGCTCGGAAGCCTCGAAGCTGCTCGGTTGGAGCTCCAGGGCGAGCTGGGAAGAGGAGACCCTGCCTGGCTTCTACCAACGCCGACTTCCCTCGTTCTTCCGACGAGCCTGTGATCGACTCGTCCTCCTTCTCGTTCCCTTCCTCAAGTCAAGTCCTCGACCGTATTTCTGGGCTGGTGCTTCTCTCCTTCCCTCTGCCTCTAGCCTCTTCCCCACTCAGCTGCGCCTTCCAGAGAAGTCAGATCCTATACCAGAAAAACAGGTAGCAGATCACCTGGACGTATCTGCCTGCCCTTCTTCCAGCACTGCAATCCATCTGCGTCTGCATGATGAAAGGTGATGGGCCCCGATTGCTTCTTTCCTTGCTGGTGGGAATCTTGTGTCTCTGGAACCCCAGTCCTGTGGAACCCCAGTCTGTGTTGACCGACCACGAAATTGAGGAATTCCTGAAAGGCTTCCTGGGAGAGGGGGATGAGGACTTGGAAGGGCCAGAGACAGGAAAGGTGGCTGTTGGTGAGGAGCTTCCCGAAAATCAAGGAAACCCGAATCCTGCAGAAAGAGAGAAAGCTCCAACGGAGGAGGTCGAAGAAGGTGAGACCTGATATGTCATTCTATCTCATTGGTCAAAGATCTCCTCTACAATCAGTATTTCTCAACTTTGACAACTTTAAGATGTGTGGACTTCAACTCTTAGAATTCCCCAGCTGGAAGTCTGATCTTAAACTTAAACAAGTTTGAGAAATGTTGCTTGTTCTACCTGAAGTAAATCCTAAACTTTCATTTGGATGGAGAAATGATAGGAAAGGCTTGCAGCCTGGAGGTAACTGCTATTCAGAATACTGTGGATTAGATTAGGCTTCCCATATATCTGGGCTGCAAAACTCTTTAATGGCAACACAGAGTTATCTTGCTGCTATCTAATTTTTGCCCCCTGGACATGATAACCTTTGATTAGATACAGTTGATCAGTGGCTTGACTTAACAACAGGTTCCTTTATAAAGTCATAATCTATTTTGATCTTGATGTGCTGTGGGAATCCAGCCACTGCAGCTTCTGAGTTCAATGTTGTCATTTTAATCCAGGCATGGAAAACTTGTGGCCTTCTAGAGGCTATGAAATGCAACACACAGCATCTCTTTTTGCTGGCTGGGATCGTTGGAGTTGTAATCCAACAACATCTGGAGATCCAACATGTCCCTATTTCCTCTGTTTTTCATGATATGTGAACCCGGCCAATTCTCTCATAGTCAGCAAACCACATTTAAATGTTGTAGCATGAAGAATTTTAAACTTTCCACAATGGTATCTATTGGTGAAAGTAAATAATGTTTTGAGTCACAGCCTCCTCTTGCCCTAAATGCAGTGACAGTAAATTTAGATAATCAAAGGTCATTTACTAAGTTTGGAAGATGCTGAAAGTTGGATGTGCTAATATTTATTAGGAAAGTTTTGTGTTTCATTTCTTCTTCATCCCAGTCCAGGAGTGCTACGTTACTGTTCTCTAGGAACTCAGGGCTTCTGGAAGTTTATATGGCTAATGTTGAAGATGCTGGATTACAATCTGGGAAACACTTGACTCTTGTTAACTGAACTGATTACCATGTCTCAATCCAACCTATTGCCTAAAATGAGGCAGACCCCCTTAGGTGTCCTGTTGAGTTCCCCAAATGAAGACAGGATAAGGAGACCTGAAATGAATAAATGCAAATAAATCAATCTACATTAGTTGCTAGAAGGTTTAAGGCTCAGGATCTTTTGACCCAACATTTTGTTGCAGAGGTTGGTCCCTCAAGGAACATCAGCCTTTGTAACATCTGTGGATACAGCAGAGTAGCTTTCTTGCATCCTAAAGACTTATTGTGCTAGAAGCTCTCAAGAATAAGAGCCTATTGTACTCTGTTGGCTGATCTACCTATGGAAAGAAAATGGAGTTATTGAAAAGCAAAAAGCATACTTCTAATTTTAGGAGTGAAGTCATTGTCCATTCTTCCTGTTGGGGTTCATTTGCTGTCCTTAGCTGCCAATTGGAGTTAGCAACTCATCTAAGGAAGTCCATGAAAACTGAGGCTATTATAAAATTGTTACTGTTCATTATTAGGAAAAAAGCAGGAATTGTGCACAGAATGATTGTGGATGCAATTTTTTTTCCTTTCCACTTCATGCACTTGGGCTGAGAAATCAGCAAACTATGCAGTTAACTGTCCTGTTGTGTCTACTCAATTCGTCCATTCCTGTTCAATTCCTTTTTCAACCGTCCCTTAAAAGCCTAGAAACCAGCAAGAAGTGTCCCAAGAGGAAGGTGGTTCATGCCAATACGTGATCTTTCCTTTCTTTTTAAAGCATATATTTATGGAACAGCAGCCACTCCTTTTATAGTTATTGCCTATTACTCATATGATGTCATATTATGACTACTACTATACTGGCATTTATTAATTCTTCACCACATGGCATGCCATTCACAACTGAGGACAGAAAAAGCTTCACTTCTGTTCTCTTATTGGTACTTAAAGAAATGTGTAGAATTGTAGATGCAGTAAAGCAGGGGTGTCAACTCACATTCGTCATGGGACATATCTGGACTGGTTTTGGATTCCCATGGATTAGGAACCTAGCTAATATACATTGTAAACAGTGTTTTATAGCATACAGTTGTATGTGCCTTGTTGTACAACTTGGTAAAACCATGATTTAGCAAGATTGGTTAGGTCTTCAGGCAGCTTCCATTGATTGAACTTAGATCAGCTTTGTTCCAATAGAGTTACTACAGTATATTGTGCACCTGCAACTTTGTGGGAGGAAATGTTTTAGCTAGACATGTGCCCCCAAGGGTAGTCTCTGCCCCATGGTAGATCTCCCTATGTGTAGTTGTGAGGTATAGATTTAATTCTTGCATCTTTATCTGCAAGAAACCACCGCACTACTTATTTGATCCCCATTAAACTGGCTGATTATATGCCTTTGATGCAAGTTCTTGCAAGTTCTTGCCTGCAGTTAGAATAGGAGCAGAAGCCCTTGACAAGGAAAGTTGATGAATGTATTTCAGCTAGTTAAATTTTGTTTTATGGAATCGGGCTCACAGTTCCATTTCTTCTCCAATGGAAGCAGTCCTGCAAGAATGATAGCCCTGTTCCCAGTAGCTAGATAAAAGCCTATGCTATTACGCATTCTCCAAAAATGTGCTTTATTGCATTGTGTTATGAAACATAAGTAGTACATTATATTCATTTATAACCCATTTCACCTTCCATTCTTCCAAGAGGCACAAGACAGTGTACAGGTAGGCCTCGATTTACAAAGTTCATTTAATGACCGTTCAAAGTTACAATGGTACTGAAAAAGTGACTTACGGCCATTTTTCACGCTTATGGCCGTTGCAGTATCCCCATGGTCACATGATTCACATTCAGATGCTTGACACCTGACCCACATTTATGACCATTGTTGTGTCCCAAGGTCATGCGATCCCCTCTTATGACCTTCTGATGTTGCTCAATGGGTCAATGGGGAAGCCAGATTCACTTAACTGCCAAGTTACTAATTTTAACAATTGCAGTGATTCACTTAACAAACATGGCGAGAAAAGTTGTAAAGTAGGGCAAAACTCACTTAACAAATTTCTCACCTAGCAACATAAATTGTCGGCCCAATTGTGGTCATAAGCTGAGGACTACCTGTATACAATTTTTCCTCCTGCTTTAAAAGAAAAAGAAAATTAATGTGGTTTCTACCCTGTCTTTCTGGCGTTATCTGCATGGCAACCCCATGAGGCTGGAGGTTGGATAGTATTGATCAGTTCCAGATCATAAAGTGCGACTGGTGGTTGGGTCCCCCCCATAATACCCAATCATGCAGCTTCTTAGTGGGAGATCTTTGGTTTCACTTTAGGCGAAGGGTGAACGATGCTCTGGAGGCCTGAGATGAGACATCAAGAGTTAGGAGGAACCGAGCATACAGTGAGTTCTATCATACACAGGTAGTCCTTGACTTACAGCCATTCATTTAGTGACTGTTCACAGTTACAAAGTCACTGGAAAAAGCAGTGACCGGTTTTCACTCAACTGCTGCAGCATCCCCAGGGTCACATGATCGAAATTCAGACATTTAGCAACTGGTTTATATTTATGACGGTTGCAGTGTCTAGGGGTCATGTGATTCCCCTCTTATGACCTTCTGACAAGCAAAATCAATGGGGAAGCCAGATTCACTTAACAACCAGGTTACTAACTTAACAACTGCACGAGTCACCTAACAACTGTGGTGGGAAAGATCACAAAATGTGGCGAGACTCACCTAACCACGTCTCGCTTAGCAACTGGAATTTTGGGCTCAGTTGTGGTCAAGGACTACCTGCACCTAAGTCAGGATGAAATCTTTTCCCCCTGTTTTCCATGAAGGCAAGACAAGAGCTCAAAAGGCTTCTTCCTTTAAAAATACATTTCACTTGAACTGGTTTTTCTGTACTTTCTTCAAGCGTTGGAAAACGCTCTGTTGTTTTTCAGGGTCTGTCAAAGTTTGCCTGCCAAACAAAGGGGGCAGAGGTCTTTAGTAAGAGCACTGACAGGCCAACGATGCTTTCCGTTAATGGAGATACTTTTGTGGGAGACATTTGCTTTCACTGCTGAGTATGTGCTGGCAGCAGAACAGGAGCTTGTACTAGGTCGCTGATACGACAGTCTGCACAGTTTTCCTCATTACACAGAAATTATCTTAGTTGGTAATGTGTGCAAAGCTTTCAAGTGAGGCTTCTCAAAAGCTCTAATCAGCTGGAGAAAGCCCAATCGGTTCTTGGAAACATCCTTCTGATGATGCATTCAAGTGATTTTACTGCATTCCTAATTTCTCCCCATCTGTTTAATCCCTCTTAGCTGATAGTTTTGCTTGCCTTTCTTAACATTGTTGTTTTCTGCCCTTTTAGGAGCCATGAACTAGCTAGAGAGTCCCATGTGGATCATTGCTGATGAATCTCAACTGCAGTTGCTTAGCTTGGCATGTAGGACTTGCCCATGCAGTCTGGATCTGGGTGGAAGGATACCCCAGCTGGGACATGACTCAGTTGGAATTGGAAGCATATCTTTTCTTAGGCACAATGGCCCCAAAGAACTCTTTGCTGTTCTTTGCCATATGTCATTCTGGTTTGGTTCTGGCTGCAGTAGAGTTTCCAACCTTGATTTCCTTTGTGGCTTGGATACAGCAGGAAGAGTTTAGACAGCTAGATCTGTTCTTATCTTCTGCAAATTCCTGACCTTGCTTTAGTCGTGGACTTGGTATCTCATGGCAGAAGGAGAGAGAGAGAGAGAGATGTCAGTGGATTCATAATTCTCATGAATGATGGTTTCTGAGACAGCCTGCCAGCAAGGCAAGCTCTTGGTATACTGTAAATGCCAGGTTGTTTTACAGCTGGTTGCTCAAATTGGCCTGGAGTGTTTTTCCCACAGGCTGTAGAAATGCCGCTGTTCAGAATTTAGGAATGAGGCTGTTGCTCTCTTGGGGTTATGAGTTGACATTAATCACTAGCAGTCTGTCCAGGGAGAGCCTCTGATTCATAGAGCCAGACCCTTTGCCCAGATCTAGTTCAGGCCTTCATGTTCAGGATTTTACAGAAAGAAAAGTTTTGGAAAAATCCCATAAGGAATCCTGAATGAAATCTAGTTTTGTGTCCAGAGTATGGGGTCATCCATTTGTTACTGAATCAGAGAGAAAAGAGCAATGGTGGTAATCATATCTTTATCTTGATGGTGATTCTAGTTGTGTTTTATGGCATGTTTGGGTAAAATTTTTTGAGTGGCTCGCAAGTAAGCCTATTGTCTATAACCAAAAATTTGTTTGAATAAGAGTTAGATGTGTCCGGTGTAATAAATTCTCCAACTCTTGGATTCTATTTAGAAAAGGAGATGCTAACCATCTTCTCTCTCCCAAAGTAACACAGGAGAGAGTGACGGAGAAGCCCAAGAAAGGGAAGAAGGAGAAGCCACCTAAACCTACAAAAAAGCCAAAGGAAAAACCACCCAAGAGCTCCCCAAAGCCAAAACCTCCCAGAAAGGAGAAGCCTCCCAAACCCACCAAAAAGCCAAAGGAGAAACGTCCCAAAGCCACCAAGAAACCTAAGGAGAAGCGTCCCAAGGCCACCAAGAAACCAGCAGCAGGAAAGAAGGTGGAAAGGCCTTCTCCTCCAGTTCCACCAGAAGAAGAGAGGTATCACTTTCCAGAAACACCACTGATCCCACCCACAACAGGAGTTGAAGATGGCTATGGATTGCCAGATCTCTTACCCTACGGACGAGAAGACGACTTCTCCCGAGTCAACGAAGAAGGGGGCGAATGTAAGTTCAGGGCATTTCTCACCCATCATACAACCTCATGTCTTCACCACACAGTGACTTAGCCTGCACATAATGTCAAGACTTGATGTGAGAAGAGAACCCAGACGTACTCTGTTTCCTGTTTTTTTAAAGCTACTTTCTCTTCCCTCTCTTACTTCTTAAAAGAAAGTACCCTGGGGCAAAGATGCTTGTTGGGAATCCCTAGAGAAGGGCATTAGTTGAAAGTAGTGATTAGGCATTTTGGAAGCAAAGGCCCAGGCAGAAACTTTCTCCCACACATAGCCAAAAAGCACCACTTGGAGCTTTGCAGTGCTGTCTTTCCTCTAAGTTGTTTAAATCCCAGAGACAAGCTAGAACTAAGTAAAAAGTTCCTAACAGTGAGAACAATTAACCGATGGAATGGCTTGCCTTCAGAAATCGTGGGTGCTCCATCACTGGAGGCTTTTAAGAAGAGACTGGACGGCCACGTTCCTGGAATGGAATAGAATCTCCCGCTTGAGCAGCGAGTTGGACTAGAATATCTCCAAGGTCCCTTCCAATCCTGTTATTCTATTTCAGAACTATTTCCAAAGCATTAAGACATAATTTATCACGAGACATGCCAGTTTAGTCACATACATAAGATCTACCCAGACCTTACTCTCTTTTGCTTCATTTTCCTTTTAATTTCCTTCTTCTGTTTGGTCATTTAATTGTTCCCTCCTAGCAATTTTCTATCTTCACTCTTCTACCTCCAAACTGAGCTGACGCTACAGGAATGTTGCACTGCAAAATTGTCATCCTCAGACACAAACTGGACAAACAACCCATCGTTATTTTGTGGATCTACAAGATTGACCCTGAATGGTTCCTAGCTTGTTCAGGAGCCCATAGTTTTTTAAAAAAATCTGGGTATAGTGTTTTGTGCAAACACACTCATTGCCTTGTATCACACATCACACTAAACCTTAAAGCAATATATTTGCTTCTGGGTTAGTTGAATCACATAAAAAACATCCAAACAATCAAAGTTTAGTGTGATGTGAAGAAAGAATGTTCATCTTCGACTCCCTCTGTTTTATCCTGCAGCTCTCTATCCTGAGAAGGTAATTGAGAAACAAGATCCATCCAGGTTTCACAGTAAGTATAATCAGATTGTGGGGTATAGTAATAACATCTCAACAGGTATTTATAGGCTGCTAAGACTATGTGGGAAAGCAGTTTAACATTTAGAAAAAGAGAAAAGACATGAATACAGTTGATTAGGATAAAATATTATATTCATCAGGAAGTTGCATAATGTAGAGTCATCCTGATAGAAAGGAGCCAAAGAGATTTCATATGAACAGGGCAAGGATGATTAAATTCAAGGTAGCAACAATATTGGGGATTGACATATGTGCTGAAGGGTTACAGAAAAGGACCATGCTAGGAAAGGATTAAATTTAATCCAGAAGGTGATCTTCCCATTTTAATGGGTTTTCAAGCATTAACATGCATTAACATTGAAGCACTTGATTTAACAACAAAGTGCCCTGGGTGAATTCAGTGGCTTGGTGATCAAGTGACTGGGTGGGCGTGGCTTGTATGTAAAAATTGTAAATATGTAAATATTTAATTTTTTATTTAAAAAAGAGCAACTTTTACCCAAAATCAAGCAAAGCAGACAGGCAGATTGAGTTGCTCACAGAATCACAGATTCACTTAGAGATCTACCTTTCTGCAATCTGCTGCCTGAGTCTGCACTGAAACATAGAAGCTTCAGTCCTAAGGAAGGTTCAGCTCTGCTTTTAGATTAGCTAGAAAGCAAGAAATCCAATGATTTCCTGCTTTCTAAGTAATCTAAATCTCCTGGCAGAGCAGAACAGCTGATGGTCGGGGAAAAAAAAAAAAGGAAAAATAGCAATTTAGCAGGCAAGTTTGATGGCGCACATGCCAGGTAAGGAGTGGGTGGGATGGGGAGGGGAGGGGTGAGGCCAGCCAGTGACACAATTTGCCGGTTCTCCAAACTGGGCAGAATCATAACAACCGGTTCTATGGAACCAGTCTGACCAGGTAGAATCCCACCCTGCAATGAATCCTTTATGGAGGTATATATGTATTTACATCCCTGCTAATTTGATTGTGCTTTTTGTTCAGCTGATGTCTATGAATCTCCAACGGAGCCACAGGAGACGCCCACCGATGAGAAAGATCCGGAAAGTCAGCCAGGTAAACAGACATTAATTCCCAAAGTTGGCTGTTTCTCACACCTCTTGCTATCTTTAAATCATGTTGTCAAGACCACAAAGTGGATTAAGGAAGATATTTCTTCACTCCTCTTGCAAACAAATTTCTTAGCTTGTCCTCTAAAGCCACCCAGAGACTGGCATATGCCTAAGAGCACTCCTGAATCCCACTGTGGGATTAGATCAGTTTTCTTAGCTATCCTAGAAAATTCTGCATAGATGCATTCCTGGTTCTACGTCTGGGCAGACCTTCACTATAAATTTTCTTACAGAGTGGAATGTAACTGGTGTCATCTGTGTAAAAAGCCAGCATGCTAGAAACAGGTTTTTGGAAGAATTTAAGGGCCAGCCACAACTATCTGCTATAGTCAATGTGATGCATGGGAATAGTTGTTATTTTACTGAAGCAGGGCTGCTGTGAGAGACAAATTGTGATTTATATCTTCCTTTGCTGCCTTTCTGTGCTCTAATGCTTTGGGGAGAAGTTAAGCTTTCTATATTCAACTTGCTATTGAAGTGTCTTGGCAAGTTGTAGTCAAAACATTTGCAGAGTTTTTGAAAGAGCTAAAAATATAAGACCTCTGATGTATTACTGCATGGTAGACCACTTAATACATCTATGTCTTACACATTTTGTCCCTCCTGGCAGAGAATGGAAGAAATTGAGATCTATCCTGGAAGGAGAACACCAGCTTGGGAAAGGATGGTTGAAGTGAATCAAACCTATTTTCTTTCTAACTAACCATTGCCTTTCTAACTCTTTCTAACTAACCAGTGCCTTTCTAACTAACCAAGACTTTGTGTCTTGGACACATCCCACAAACTCAGGAAAAGTCTGTGCTTTTTGTTTGTTCTCTAGAATTTCCTGTAGAACAAGAGCCACCAACACTGGACCACAATGAACAGATCGAGCGTGAGGACTACGAGGATTGTACGGTGACATTCTTGTTCACTTACTCTATCCACGAATCATACTCTTTCTTGGGGAGTAGCCATCTCCTGTTGTGGGTGGAGGAGTAGCAAAGCTTCAGGATAGCAGATTCTTTGTGTTTCTTTGATTCAGGCATGATCTGATGCTCTTAAATGCAATTCAGGACCTCTGGACAGAGATTCCTATCCTCTTAATTATTTTCTATGGGAAAAGGTTACCTAATCTTCCTAGCCACAAAGCTGCTTGGGTTGTGTAGAAACATCTGGTGACTAAAAAAAAGATAATGTGAAAGATTAATGACATGGCCATGGTCAGAGGATCCTTAAAACCTGTTTCTATGCCCTGGGACCAGCAAAATTAATTCAAGTTTGCAGAATCCATGCTGGGCTTTGATCTGGAATGTATTTATGAAGAGACTTGACTTAGTGTTTAGCCTTTTGGCTGAGTGGTGGAACAAATACATTTATGCAACTGATCTTGGGTTTAATTTCCATCATCTCCATGAGTGGAAAATATTCATCATATCCTGGAGAGGTCCTGCTGATCAGTCATGTCAGCCTTCCCCATCTAGTGCTTTCCAGATGTGGGGATTTCCAGCTCCCAGAATCCTAACTATATTATCTATGGTGGCTAGGAATTTGGGAGCTAAGCATTGGTTGATACTGGTGGAGGCTATGCTGAATTAGTACTGTAGGGTCCTCCCTGCTTCTATCCCAAAGGTATTTTTTCAAGCGCAACTGGACTTTCTTTGTTTTTCCTAGAAGACATTTTGCTTCTCATCTAAGAAGCTTCTTCGGTTCAGTTCAGTCAGTTGCCTCTTGAAAAAGCATCTTTGGGACAACCATGGATGACTGAGAATCTCTGTAGACATCTCCCTGCTTCTAGAGATGCGGACTAGATCACAGAACTAATATCTCATTGCTTGGTTACATGGGATTTTGAAATCTTTCAGGGTTAAGGGTAGGAAGTGACCCTCTGATAGATTCATCAGAAGTTGCCTTTTTGGGTTGGCATGGGCAGACATTTTTACAACTGGGTCTGCCAGGCTCTGCCACTTCAATGTTTTTTGCTATAGGACAATCTTTGGGTGATCTAATGGCGCCCCCGAAAGTGGCGCCAGTTCTGATTGTTTTTGCAGGTCACACACCTGTGTTTTCTATATTTTGAACTTTGCTCTACATCAATATTTCTCAACCTTAGCAACTTTAAGACATGTGGACTTCAACTCCCAGAATTGCCTAAACTACCCCACTCGTCTTCAGGTTGCCAAAATTGAGAAAGATTGCTCTATACTATCTCCAGGTAGTCCTCAACTTATGATGGCAATTAGGACCAGAATTTCCATTGCTAACCAAGGCAGTTCTTAAATGAGTCACACCCAATTTTATCACCATTTTTGCAACAGTTAAGCGAATCAATGCAGTTGTTAAGGGAATCACACAATTGTTAAGTGAATCCAACTTCTCCCATTGACTGAGAATGTTACAAACAGCAGTCACATTATTCTGGATGCTGCAAAGTCATAAATACTTGCTGTTTCCAAGGACCTGAGTTTGGATCATGTGACCATGGAGAAGTTGTAACATTCGTAAGTGCAAGGACCTGTTGTAAATAACCTTTTCCAGTGCTATGGTAAATTTGAACAGTTGCTAAATTAATGGCTCTAAGCCAAGGGCTACCTATATTCTCCTTATTGTCTGTGCCTCACCTCCCTGGACCAAGCAGGTCTGTTCTTTCCTGCTCTTTCATGTCAACCCCAGTGAGAATCTAGACTGCCTTTTGGGATCATCTTCTACCAAGAGAGGGGCTATGGCCCAGTTGCACTGAATTTTTGAAAGCATAAAGGGAGCATTATGTTGCCTGTTTCTGCCCTGCAGACACATGCGTCGAAAATTCTCCAAGCCACATTTCAGAAGAAAACTATTGCTCCCATTTAGGCATTTGAGAAAAAGAGAAAGAGAACATTTAAGAGCTGCAGAAAAACTATTTTAGCTCCATGCTGTGAATTGGAAATCAAGGCGGATCCTGGCTTGATCTCTGCTGTGAAAGTCAGTTCCTTTTGTACATGGCAGAAATTATGGATGCGTAGTGGTAGTCGTAGTTGTAGTTGATGTCATCATCATCATCATCATGCTTACCATATTGCACTGCCTTGAATCTGGCTTAGAAGGGAGCAGTTCAGCACCACAGAAATTTTCCCTCCCCCTCATCTTTCAGACTTACCCTTCATTTCCGCCTCATGTGCTCTGGCTTTAGTTTGGCCTACATGAATGGAAAATGCCCAGCGTTTTCTGAATAATGTTTGACTGATGAGAGAGATTTTGCCAAAACAAATGTAGATCTACCCAGCATCAGGGTTGGGTGAAAAAGTATTTTCTTATTTCCTTATTTTATGCCAACCACTGAGTTAGGAAGCCCAGGAGTCTGAATGCTTCCGTCTCTCCAGTTATAAAGTTAAACAATTACGACTTTATATATGCTCACTTCTCACTGGCACTTCCTGAAGTTTTGGCTTGCACATTCCCCTGCCCCTCCAGGACTGAGTGGACAAAAGAGGGCTATTCCCAGCACTGTTGTCAAAAAGGGTTTAAGTGTAGAGATGCAGTTGCAAGCTGGATTTTGTTAGAGTTGTGTTAGGCTCCAGAATGGATTCACAATAATTTTCTTTATTTTATTTTCTGTCCATCTCATAGTTCAAGTGACTCTGAACAGTTGCAATTGATAAACTTGGAAAAAATCAGATTCTCTGCTGTTTTGATAGATACATTTGCAATTGTTCTGAGCCCAAAATGACTTTCTTGACTTTCTCATGTTGTGTGAGCATGACATTTGGCCTTAAATCTGTTGCAATGAGACCTCAAAAACTCTCTGGCCAACTTGGCCATGAAAGTCTGTCTTATTGGATATGACTACCTTCCTCAATCTGGATTCCCTCAAGTCATGTGAGATTCGGCTCCTGGAGTTCCCACCTCTGATAGCATTGTGGAAGGTTCTGCATGCTGAGGCCTCTGTGTCTGCAGGACTCCCAGATTATGACATCAGATCTGACAGACCACTGGTTCATTTTATCCAAAGTAACAGTCCCTCTCGTTAACTGAGAGAGCCAATTTGGTCTAGTGTTTAAGGCACCAGGCTAGAAAGCAAGAGCCTGTGAGTTCAAGTCCTGCCTTAGCCATGAAAGCCACCTGAGTGCCTTTGGGCTAATCATAATAGGAGACTCTGAGTTTTAGTTCCACCTTAGGCATGAAAGGGAGCTGGGTGATCTTGGGCCAGTCATACTCATTCAACCCAACCCACTGCACAAGGTGGTTGTTGTGGGCAAAATAGGGGAATGAAGCTGTGTTTGGATATATTTGCCGCCCTGAGTTATTTATAAAAACAATACAGGCAGGATACAAATGAATAAATAAACTGCTGAGACCTTCCATAGCTTTAAGAAGAGAAAATAGAACATAGGGTGAAATGCATGGATGGAATCTCCTCCCTTACAACCTCCCGGTCTCCTTCTGATGAAATCCTTTTTCTTTGTACAGATCAATATGTCCGGCGTGAGAAAAAACCCAAAAAACCATCGAAAAAGAAACCTGAGAGACCCAGGCTGGAACCAGAGGAGAAACCAAGTAGGTATCCTTGGGCTCCCTATCATTTCACCAGAAGGTTCAAAAATACAAGGAGGTTGAGAGACAGAGGCAGGCAAGAAGATGCTTCTCAGTCTAATGATGAAACATTTCACAGTGTTGCAAGGAATAAAATGACCCTTTATTGGCTTGGGGTTTTAAGATAATGCTGGGAAAGTTATTGAATCCTTGGAAAGCCACTGTTTTTACACCATCAGCAATAGGTGGTCATTTTGGTGGATGGCTAGGACGAATTGTTATAATGTATTGTATTGTATTGTAATAATTGCTGTATGTATGTGTTGTATTGTAATAATTGTTGTCATTATTATGGTTTCTCACTGAGGTTTGTAGTGGGCATGGTGCTGTAGGACAATGTTTCTTAACCTTGAGAAGTTTAAGATGTGTGCATTCAACTCTTTTCAGTTCTGGGAATTGAAGTCCATACATCTCCAAGTTGCCAAGGTTCAGAAACACCACTCTAGGGGGATATTTAGCCCATTTCTTTCCACTTCCTTGGGGAGAGTTTCTCCTTCCCTATCTAGGTACATATTGAAAGTTCATAAAGCTTAAAACACTGAGGAATTTAGTTTCACACACAAATGGAAAATGGTGACCTTGGAAGCCTGCCAATCTTTTTTCATTAAAAAAAAAATCAACCTTCTGATTAGTAGAGAACCAGGTTGATGCAGTGATTAAGGCACCAGGCTAGAAACTGGGAGTCCAAAAGTTCTAGTCCTGCTTTAGACACAAACCTATCTGGGTGTCCTTGGGCCAAGCCCTCTCTTTCAGCCCTAAGGAAGGAAGCAATGGCAAAGCACTTCTGAAATCTTGCCAAGAAAATTGCAGGGACTTGTCCACACAGCTGCCAAGAGTCAACACTGACTCAAAGATGTGCATGCATGCACACACACTCAGATTGCTCAGGGTTGCACAGCTAATTTTAACTGGATAATCTCTTCCCGATCAACTTCATGTAATGGGAATTTTCACCCACTTCCTCCTGCTCTGAGTTACAAGAGAGGCAGAAGATATTTCATGGTCTCCAATTTGATGTCTGCTGGCCATGTGTTTCTGTTCTTCTAAACACTTAATATTGGGACAATTGGTAGTAGCAAAAGATCCACAAGCATGGTCTGCTTAGAAATGCCTTTGGCAAGAGTGAAACATTGGCAGCTATCTGCCTCATTCATTTCAACTTGTCATTATAGATGGGGAGGTGTTTATTACAAATGGGTTAGTTGGAGAAATGAAACTCCTGCAGTCCCACAGAAGCTTGTGGAAATGTGGAAACTTTTCAAGGACTTATTAACAGATGTGAAGAGAAAGGCAGATGGTTCCCATAATAAGAGAACTTGTTTACATACTTTATGTGGGATCCTGGGGGTTGGACTGGGAAATTCATTGTTTAATATTGTGAACTGATGCTAGATAAATTCAGAGTTAGTTTCACCTCAGTAATATCATGTTATGTGTTTAATAAACAAGTAAGTTTTCATAAATGAAAATGATCCTGGACTTTTATTGGAGTATTCAAGCTGGATGTAAACAGGCTTCTTCCACAGGACCTTTAACCAAAGAGTTGTTGCCTCTTTGGAATCCAACTACTGTTTCTGTTTTGCTCAGCAGAGAAGGTGGAGGAACCTCCCATCCCTCCTTTCGAGAGTCATTATGATGGAGGGATACAGCTGCCAGATTATGAAGATGGTATGTGCTATTTCATGTATTTTATGGAAGAGTCATAAAAGAAGAAGAATCAGCATTATTCTGCTGATTAATTTCTTTCTCCCAAGATGAATCTCCTTCACATAGACTCTTCTTTTGCAATTTCTCCAATGTTCCCGAGCGATCATTGGAGTTTTTAGGCAAGCACGTGGCTTGGAGCAGAATTCTCCTTATTGGTGCTTGACTGTTGTGTGGGGCTACAATTTTCTTCTTCCCAGCTATCTTGCCCATGAGCCACATCCAGGAAGAACCAGGCTGAGGAAGAATGGCATAGATGAAACAATGCAGAGATGTTCCTCAGTTAACTGCCCCCTTTCAGCTAGGAAGGTGGAATGGGTCCTGATGTTGCTTTAATGTACCTCAGTAGACTTCCCAACACAGCAAGATTATAGTGGATCTTTGTCAGAAGAGATAAATCTGAAAGGTCAACTTGGTCTTCAACAGGTGCACATCCATTTTGGTATTCTTGAACCTCCAGTTGGAAAGGGTCCCAAGAATTTTCTTTTATGTACACTTCATTCTTTGTTTATTATGAAACTATTAATATGGAACAGCTCAGCAATTGCAATAGAGAATATTGTGTTATTTCTTTCCCTGCTGCCAAAAATTCCCTCTGTAACTGATTTTGCTTGGACCATGGGGTGGAAGAGGGCAATATTCTTCAACATTCTGAAGACCAGTTAGGTGACTACAATATAGGTTTTAAACTTCTTTATTCATACTGGGCTGTGCTAACTTGGTCATGAAATAAACTGATGACTTTGAGAAAGGCCTGGATGAATTAACCTTTTAGGATTTGGAGAAAAGTTAAATTAATGATTATATAGTGGAGTATTTATTTGCTCCATTTTTTTTCTGCCTTCTCAGAAATTTATAACAATATACATACATTTCTGAAGTGGCCAAGACCAGATGTAATTGCTGCACCATGGTCTTTAGATCAGCCTTATCCAAAGTAATAGTGTACAAACATGCTGAAACATCTCATTCCAAAATATGTTGGCAGGAAAGTCCATATTTCTAGAGAATATCTAGGCTATGGAGACAGTTTTGAATCATGCTGATGAAATATACACATTGAAAAAAATCCCTATGAATATATCTATCATGAAGTTGGAATAGCTCAGTTTGAAAGGATGGTGAAACTGTGGAGACCCTGAATACTCCTTTAACTGCATTTCTGATTTCATTTTCCCCTGTAGTGGATTATGGTCTGCCTCCCCAGGAGCCCAAAAAATTCCCCAGTGAAACAGATGAAGGTGAGATGGAGAAGATGAGGAGAAACTCAAACCAAATGAGGACATGGAAACTGGGTTGGCTTGATTCTGCAGGAAGGGGTTTGTTGTTAGGAGGGAATGTGAATTGGATGAACTGGTTGACCCAAGATGTGGCAGATCCCAGGTTGAGTTTTAAACATAGAATAACAGAGTTGGAAGGGACCTTGGAGGCCATCTAGTCCAACCCCTGCTCAAGTAGATGAGGCTATTCCAAATATTAGCCTCTACCTAGGATCGAACTCAGTCTCCTGATTGTGAGGCCACCACACTGGACCATCCCAACCTTCTCAATTTTAAGCAAGGAAGGGAGTCAACATTGGTGTCCCTGCAACTCTGCCCCAATAACTTCCTCCATGAATTAACACATCTGCATGATTATCACTTCTCCATCAATTGTAAGCCACCACTTTGGCTTTAAAACATTTCCATCAGATTGCTTTTCAGTCACTTATCTTCCTTATCTGTACATTTGCCCCAACAAACAAGAACGTGAGAAAGATTGAGTCTGCACTGTTGGGAATCTCGGTGCCTGATATTAACACTTTTTCTCTTTGCTCTGGATCAGAGAAACCTAAGAAAGGAGGAGGCAGTAGCAAGGAGGAAGAGGAGGGCGAGACAGAGGAGAACAAATGGACAGAGGAGAAAAGCAAGGAGAAAGGTGAGTAAGCTTCAGAAAGAAGAGAGGAGC